TTTGCTCAACATTATTCCGATGGACTGAAAAAACCTATCGAACACCTCAGTAAAGCCTACGTTGTTCAAATGAGTGTTGGGCCGATTTCCTTTTCTAACTTGTTCGGCGAACAAGTTACAAACAAGCGTGAGATAACCATCAGTCCAGTCCATTGCATCACCCTGACCATGATTTCCCACAATATTTTCATCACCCAAATCAAGATTTCCCCACACATACATTGCTGCAAAAAGAATTGGAAAAGAAATTATACCTCATCATCTCTTGCCCTCTTGTTGGATGCTGGAGCACGTGTCCTTACTTGCGACGTGGGGGGAGAGAAGATGCCTGCAGCTCCAGCTGCTGCACCGGCCCCTTCGCCGGCCAGAGCAGCGTGGGCGGCCGGCCCCCCAGCCCCTGCGCCGGCATGGGCAGCCGGCCTCCCAGCCCTTGCACCGGCCAGGGCGGCCCGCCCCCCAGCGGCCGAGATGGCCTGGGCGCCGGTAGGAGGGAGCTCGTCGCTAGGAGGAGGAGCGCCGGTGGCCGGAGAGCAGAGCTGTCGAGATAGGCCAACCCTAGGTGCAGGGTTCACCAAGGATGTGGAGGAAGAAAGGGGTGGAGGAGGTCTAGGAGGACCAGATCTACCATATCCAGCCATGGACGTCTCGCCGGAGGACCTCGCCGGCGGGAGATGTGGGCGGCGCGCCCTCCCTGGTGCCCGCGTCGGGGCCGCGTCGAGTGAAGAAGATGAGCTGCGGCCTCCTCCGTACGGCGTAGGGAAGAATAGGAAAGGAATAGAAAACGAATCGGTATGCTGGGAGCGTGTAATAAGTGGCTGTGGTGGGTAATTTTCACCAACTCCACGATTAGGTACAAAAGAGGTATTCGTGGAGCACCCACTCCTTGAGGAGATCCACTGTTATGGTGAATCTGATCCAGATGCATCTTTTTGGTGGAGCTAGAGTGTTTGGTAAACTTTTTGTAGAGCGGAGCTAAATTTGATAGATGTGGACTGTCTCAAACAGGCCCTAAATGTTGAGCTAGGAGTGGAGTGTCCTAATAAATCCGAACGGGGTTGAGTGAAGCAGCCACGTCGACTCGTGCTGCTACCGGAAGACGAAGACGGCCTGCATATGTATTTGATGCCACGGTCAGTCAACTCGTGGTCTTCATTATATCACCCAAAACACAGTAGATTAATTAATCCCTTGTTGTAATAATGTCAGGCTGGCGGTCCTCTCAAGTTGTTGATTACATGTCGCGACTCCAGGCTGAGGTCGTCCCTCCCCTTCATTATTCACCAGCGCGGCCGGCTCACGTACGGCACCCCCTCCGTTCTTAAACTCGGTGCAGGCGCAGGCGCAGGCGCGTCTTCCATCTTCCATGAGCGCCTGGAGCGGCAGACAGCACTCAGCACTGTCAAACGCACGCACGTAGTACGGCCCTGAAAACCAACGGTCCATCTGTAAGAACAATTCTCCAGGCTTTCAGCTAGTACTGTAGCTCACTGCGCCGGCCGGCCACTGCCTCTGCTTGGCAGACAAGGCACGAAGCGAGTCAGCAGCAGCTGTGTTTCCCTTGGCCCTTGCCTCTTGCCAGTTGCAGCTACAGACACACGGCCGGGCCAAGGCTGGCTTGTGCTCCAGGATCCTTCTCCTTCCTCCTTGCATTGAGAGCTCCTTAGCTTCGACTCCAACCTTGTTCTGTATTTTACGTGCGGTGCGTGCTGCCAGAGAGTTTTCGGTTCCACATTCCAGGGTTCAACCTTCTTTTCTCCATAGCATGGATTTTCAGCTTCACTTTCACACATGACACGTTGACACACCAGCCGGCCGGCCAGCCAGGGCCGGCTTCCGGAAATGGAAAAGTACGCTGGTTTAGCTTCCTTGTATAAATTGAGCGCGGCTCCAACATGATAGGACACGACGCGTGACTGCACAACACGCCCGCACACCATCATGGGCTGTGTGTGTGGTCCTCAGCCTCAGGAACACGTTAGAAAGCTGCAGATTGCTGTTAGACCGTGGCCGTGTGGAGGCGACGAGGCGTACAGCAATGATTTGGATTTGAACATAGGAGCATGGAGACCTCCCCTCCTGATGGCTGATGCTTAAGTAGGAGTAGATAGTATCTTAATGGATATCACCAACCCCCTTTGTAGCTTTGCGTGCTGTAATCCTGTTAGCCTTTAATTTGGTGCAGCCTAGCTACCTCAGGCTGCATTAATATTGCACTGTCATGTCAAACCACCTCAGCTGCGGTAGCATAGCACTGCATGAGGATTCAGGCGTCATTTCGCTACCTCCGTCCCGTTGCCATCCGTGGAACCAGGCACAACTTGTTGAGCCTGCATAATAACCTGAAACTCTCAGCACTGAACTTGGTCCGTCCGTACCGTATGTGCATGTTCTGTTCTGAATTCTGATCTGCATGCGGCTCACATTTTTTCTTTTTTAGATAACGGAACTACATAATTCCGGTCTCAACCATTCGCAATTGAATGAATATAGCCTATTTTAAAAGTGATCAATAGTACCTCAAGGTCTTACAAAGATTGAAAATTACAATAAAAATAGAGAGAGGCTTAATTCTCAATCCTGAATACTATCTTCCATCCAAACTTGTTGAACAATTCCAACATTACTTTTCTCCATCTTCCGGCATGCATCCTTCAATATTCCTTCCTCTCCCCCATTAGATAGCTCAGACCAGAGCTTGATCCAAGAAGTCCCCTTAAAAAGAACCTGTAAAAATGAGCATAGTTTTGTTCTGTTGAAAACTATCATTTTGGATAGCCCAGCAAAGAGCCACTATCCCAACTAGAATTAATTTGCTTTCTAAGCCTCCAAGAAAAGCTTTGGAGCCAAGAACCAAACATGTTGGAAACACTCGTATGTGGTTGCATACCAAAACAAATAGAAACCGAATTCAAAACTGACCTAGCCACATGGCACTCGAAAAAAAAAGATAGAATGTTCTCATTAGAGTGACAGAAACAACCACCAATATTTCCATTCCAATATCTTTTTTCTAGGTCATCCTTTGTTAAGATTACTCTTTTTTTTCAAGTACCATAGGAAAACTTTAATGTTTAGCGGATTCTTTGCTTTCCAGAAAGCATTTTTTTCTCAGTCACGCGATCTGTGGCCACTATAGTATAGCCGTATCGGTAAGGCAGTGCCAGCTGAACATAGATAGGCCTGGGGGGACACCTTCAAAATACAAATACTACAATACAATACAGCTCCAGGATTAAATTAACCACTGGGAGTAGTCCATTACTACTACTGAGATGCTAGCTGTGGACGGATGCTCATGAAAGATGGGATGAAAAAACAAGCAGAGAAACGTATCCATGGATGAAAGCAGCTTTTACTACTCTTGGACAGTAACACTAGTGCGTGCTGCTGCAGCAGCTGCTAAGCAAAGCTTCAGACAAGCATTTTGACCTTGCAGAGGATTGGTTTGTGAGTTCCCAAGTAGGAGTGCCCCAATATATTAGGGCCTTGTTTAGATACCCTCAAAATTCTAAGTTTTTTCACTCTCTCTCCATCACATCAATTTTTAGCCATTTGCATGGAGCATTAAATGTAGGTAAAAAAAATAACTAATTGCACAGTTTAGTTGGAAATCACGAGATGAATCTTTTGAGCTTAGTTGGTCCACGATTGGACAATATTTACCAAATAAGACGAAAGTGCTACTATTCATTGGGTTGAATTTTTTTTTTAATCTAAACAAGGCCTAGGAAGGAAGCACTACTCTACTGCACTCCTGTACTAGTAAGACTGGTGGACCAGAAAGCATTACAATTTCTCCTGCGTAGCGTAGACATTGGTCCCATCTTCCCAGGAAGAACACGCGGCCCTACGAATAAAACTACTCCTGGCACCAAGGCAGGGCGTGCAACACCATCAATGCCAATGGGCAAGGTGCCAGCGCCAGCGCCAGCGCCATGCCATGGCTTCCTTTCAAACAATTCCCTCAGTGAGGGAACAGGGAATGGAGCTCACTGCACACCATCATGGTTGCAAAGCAAGGGCCATTACTCATTATTACAGATTACAATAAACAGGAGATGTATCTCAGTGTCACTCTAATCACAGGCAGCACCTGGGGAGGCTTGACACTGGGACTGCAATGGAAGCGCCACATGGGAGCCGTGCCATCGCAGTGATGGGATGGGATGGGATCATTACTTCCCCCCAGCATACTGCAGAACAAAGTAGTAGTAAAACGCAAGCAGGCCTGGAGAGAACCACATTGATGGTGCCAGTGCCACACTGTTTGCACATCAACGCTGGAAAAAAGCCTGGAATCATTCCATTTCTTCCTTACAAGGGCAATCACAAACACAGTTCAATCCATGACACTCAAAAAGATGTTTGGGATAGATTACATCCACCATCTGTTTAACACTAGTACATCCTTCATCTCATGATTAAATATAGAGAGATGCAAAGGGGGGAGGTTCAGGAACAAAATAACTTCCTAAATAAAACACTGCTAAGTAACAAACATCTAACTGGTTCTACCCAGTACTAAAACACAAATAAAAACCATTCAGATGTTCTACTCTCTCTTTTTTTTTCCCCTGAGAGGTTAGCTTCAGCTCAATCCATCAGCAAGCAAAACACACTGAACCACCGCCAATCGGATGCCATGACGGCCAAAACACTGCCTGTTCGCTTGAACCACTTTTCAGCCGGATCAGTTCATTTCAGCTTATTCTCCCTCAGTCAAAACCAGCCGGCTTATGTGCCAGCCGAACAGGGCGCACAATGGCCTTCACATGCGGTTGGAATGGAGAACGTACCCTAAGCAGTCCTTTCACTAGGAACAGACAAAATGGAGAACGTACCCTAAGCAGTTCTTTCACTAGGAACAGACAAAAAAAGAAAAGCTTGAAGCAGGAAACAAGGCTACCTACTACCATGTCTCTGGATGGGATCAGAAAGGATGATTCACACAGATCCGCTTCAATCATATGCAAGACCATGTGAATGCCTCATGCTTCTTCCTATACAGAGGAGTCATTTGGATTTACCAAACCTCCAAATCCTCTCAGTTTTACTTGTTTCTCTCCTACACTAGATTCAACAGGGTCAGCAGCTGCACTGTGAGAACCAAGTATGAACAGACTGCAGATCAGTTGTGACTCTCGGGTATGGTTCCACCGCCCCATGCCACCTTTATCTTCTTCTGCTTTCTCCAGCGCAGCAACTTTAGCCCGGTAGCCTGGGGGAGGACCGGCCCGGCTCCTCTCGCCATGAGTAAGCTCCATGGTCTCACCAACAGATCCAGACTTGATATCAGTGGGCGGGATGAAGCAGTCCATGGACAGCCCAGGAACGTTGAATGCAACCTCTTCAATGCTCCACACCTCCTCCATCCGAGTCTTGGTGTGGCTCATGGCTACCTCACCAAACCTGAACAGGGTCACAGCTGAGCGCCCAGAATGCGCGATCATTATACCATCCACTGGACGGTAGTCCTCCATGAACGAGCTGATGGTAGTCTCCCAGTAGACCGCGTCCCCTCCGGCGGCTGACTGAATTCGGGTCAGATGTGAATCCTCAATGTGGACAAGAAGACCAGTCCTCTGGCTGAAGTACCCAAACGTGACATGCCTGATAATCTCTGCATGGCCCTCGCTGCGTGCCTTGAGGGTCTCAGTGTCTGTGCTCAGCTTCAGGATGAAGCAATCCTCCCCATTCACCTTCCTCTCACCAATGCACCGCGCACGAGCAAACATGCTTGCCGTCATCAATGGATCCAAGCCCTGCAAAAGAACATAACTCAGGAACCATCTTCTATTGGACTTGGCTGAATTAGCAGTGAAAACCACAAACAGGGACATGGGCAGCAACAGCCATACCTGAAGGGAACGGCGAAGCGGGCGAACAGGGCCCTTGGCAGAATGGGCACCAAGCCATGGTGTGTGGCGCCACACGAGCTTGCCATTGCACCCTGCGTGCACCTTGCTCCCACCGACAACCAGCTCGATGTACCACATCTCAGGGGCCATCTGCCACAGCACGAAGCGGCCAGGCTCGCCGCCGCGTCCAGCATTGCGGTTCTTGGTGAGGCGGCCGGCGGTCTCGAACTCAGTGGCCACCATGCGCACCTTGCCCATGGCGTAGGAGTTGCGCAGGGAGGCCAAAAGCTTGTGCCCTCCGGAGGCCGCAAGGTATTGCTGCAGGATGTACTGCGCCGATGAGGTCTCCTGTGGAGAAGCACATCACAAAAAAAAAAAAAATCGCAATTTTGTTAAAGATCAGGCATATAACAGTAAACAGAAACATCACTGAATTAAACACATAACAGGCAACAGCGGTGAAAAAAAAACAGTCATGTATACCAGTCCTAAAGAGCAGTCAAAGATCCCAAGACCAAACATGCAGACATTAAGAATCAAAAGCAACTCTTTTACAGCACTGTAATCACTGCTAAGTGGTAACGAACTTTTTACAGTCTACAGGACCATGAATTCAAGCACAACTCGGATACAGACATCCATGAAAATCTTGACACCAGCATTTCGTCGAACAGATTGGAACGGAACGTGGAGCAAGCAAACAAGGGGGCAGAACCGCAGAACACAGGAAAAAAAATACAGAGGAGCAGCGTGACAAGAGAAGCGCTTACGATGGGAGTGTCCTTGACGCTGAGGTGCGGGAGCGGCTCGGAGGCGCAGACGTGGACCGGCGCGAGCGGCGCTCCCAGGACGCCGAGGAGCATCCTGAGGTCGTTGCGCAGCGCGCCGGCGACGGCGGAGGACGGGGCCCGCGCGAATTGGCCGCGCACCCAGTGGCCCCAGCCTTCCTTCCTCCCGCGCGCGGCGCCTCGGCAACCGCCGCTGTCCCCGTCGCTGGGCTCCGGATCGGGCCCCTCCATGAGCGGCGCCAGCATCTCGCCGCCGCCGACCACTCCGGCGAACCTGAGCGCGGCGGCGGCCAGGTCCGCGGCCTCCGACTTGCGGCGCGCCCGCGCCGGCGACAGCCCGCGCGCCACCTCCTCCCGCAGGGCCGCGAAGAAGCCGTGCCGCCTTTCCATGGTCATGGACAGGGCGGGCAGCGGGGACCTTTTGGCGAATAGCGGAAACTTTGGTGGGCGTCTGGTGACCGCGCTGTGGCCGAGGAATGACAGCGGTGGACTGGTTGCGAATTTATACGGAGGCGTGGGCTGCAGAGGAGAAAAAGGTGGGGCAGGCGCTGGAAGGCAAGCGGGACGCGGGGTTTGCAGGCTGGGAAGTGTGACAGCGAGTGGAGGTGGTATACGGCCGCAAGTCGGCTGCGGATTCCCGTCACCATCCCCAGGTGTGCTCACCGCTCCCTTGGTGTCAGTGTCGCTGCTGTAGCCGCCGGTTTGGGGGGCTTGGGCTGCGCACTTTTCTTCTTTTCTTCTTGTGATATGGTTACTTATTTACCTTTTCTTTTGGGCACCATGACAAACCTGAGAGTTACGATGCTATTAGCTACATAATATATAGTATTCACGTACGATAAATGAAACAGCTATTGACAACCAGTACATGGAGAAATGATTTGTGTATTGAAATTGTATCCATACAACATGATGAACCTAAAAAGTTGGCAATGCACTACTAGTTTAATTTCATGCCACACATATCGCGTGTGCGGATATGACATGTCGGGTGCGTAGCAATGCTTGGAGGGCTCTCTGTGCCTTGGAGTCACGGTCAAGCCCCTCGCCCTTCACCTTCGAGCGAGCCGGTGAATAGTTGACAACCATGGCCGCCAGCCTCTATAGCGGCCAATATGAGATGAGAAATGTAGGCCATACCCTTCCCATCAAGTAGACATGTCGCGCCATGCCTGTGGAGGAAGAAGATGGATTTGATCTGTTATTGATTTTGAGCTTCACTAGGTCTACTTGAAATTTTCTTAACGGCCCAACATTTTCACTCTTCAACTAACCCATCAGCCTCACCATGCATGATGTGGCTTGGACAATTGCCAATCGAATCACTTTTCGTATCGTCTCTTGGCAACCCATGAGCAAGAATCTCAACCAGCTGAACACGATTTCCCTCTTCCCATTATTGTTGCATCGGTGGGCCGGCCTTGCGATACTCGTCTACCCTCATGCTCCTACCTCCAGGCTGCCTGACTCACACTTTGTGGCGACATCTCTTTCACTGGGCCGCTGCCTACTACGTCTTGTTAATTTTTATATTTTCTATTATGGCCCTGTTCGCTTGTCTTATAATCCGTACTTTTCAGCTTGTCTTTTTAGCCGGAACAATATTTTTCTCTCACAACAAATCAGCCGGAATAGTGTTTTAACTTTTTTTTTCAGCGAAGTGAACGGGGCCTATATTTGGAAGAAGGTTTCCCACGATCACCTTGATTGTGGGCTTTCTCTAAGTAGGAATTACAAAAAAAAAAAAAACCACTAACTTAAGTTTTAGTAGGAGAGAGTTTTTTTCTGTTTATATCTTAGCTATTTTGTGACGGTAAGAAAATCATAGGCGGTGAATCACGGGGTACCCACAGATATATTATACAGACTGAATCCGCCATCCATCACCGGGGTGGTGAGCGTAAACCGCCCCTGGCAGCCGCAGCAGCGCAGCCCACACCCCTGGTCTCACGAGCCCCAAAAACGGCGCCGTGAAGCGAAGGTTCGGGCACGGCGGAAGCTGCTGCCTCGGCCGGCCCGACGGAAGCCCGAGACCCTCCGTTGCGTGGGTTGGCCCCCGCTCACATTTATCGCTACGGCTAGCGCGCTGACCCAAGAGCTGCTGCTACCGCTATCTCTATCTATCTGTAGTCTATCCCCGGGGCGCGCGGCGCGGACAAAGGCCCCGGACACGGCAGGCGCGCTCGCGCGACAGCACCGGCTCCAGTGTCCAGTGACGTGCCGCCGCTCGCGAGCCTTGGCACGATCGACTACGACGTGGCGAGCTGCGCACGCGCATATCAAGTTTACAGTATATACTAATTAGCTAAATTATTGATCAAAGATTTTAAAGTTTGACTCTTGATTTGTAGTACATAAACCTTGTAAAAGAGAAAAGAGGGAGTACGTCTCTTGCACAGGCATATTGCATGCCTAGTCAGTGTAGGTAGTCGTAGAGAGTAGAAGGCTAAGTGGTCGTAGCAGATGACGACTGTTGCTTTGGACTATATGGTCCTACTACACGAAAATATTATTTTAGTGGTAAAGAGCGAATTTTCAATAAGGCTCTCCTCTATAATACTATTCGATCTAGACATCGTCCTATCTAAGACTTTCATCGGACGTAAGACTTTGACACTCGGGAAGTTATCTTTTGTTTTTTCGAGTCACGTTATTTTACATCTATTGATTTTTTTTTTTGTTTAAGTCACATTATTTAACATCTCATGATTAATAGTCCTAATCCCTCACATTATTTGTACGTCATTAATATAGTCCTAACCTCTGACGTTGTTTGTACAATCTTACATCATTGAAATCATATTCCGTCACGTCTACATCATTGCCTCGTCGTCATGGGTTTTTAAGGTAAAAAAAAATCACCATGTAGAGCACCGCCCGGTCCGTAATCCCCACTTTAGAATTTTTTTTTTGCACAGGTGAACAAGAGACATCCAACTCCACTAGGTTGGTGGCACTCATTCATATAATTTTGTAGATTTCTTTAACATTTTATAATTCCAATCAACAATTCATTATCCTATTTTTATATTTAAACAAATTGTGATGATATATATGAATCGACGACATACCGAGAATTCAATAATGAATATTCTCATGGTATTTGAAACAGTAAACACGTGCGTGTCGCACACGCATATTTTCTAGTGGTAAAAAATGGATAATTAACTATCGGAAATTGTATGTTTCCTTTATTTGCCATCGGTCGCTGTTAGCCAAATAATTTTACTGAATCTCATCCATTGCCGATAACGATTCCGTTGCTGTTTTCTTTTAATAAGGATGCAGTTGTTGTTATAGGTCTCCTTGGGCTACCTTGTGAGTCAATCATCCAAAGGCAAGTTGTGTGCACAGGACCTGTGCCGATCGCAGCTCGTGCAGTGTAGCGTGTAGGCTGCGTGCCACACTGCCACTCCGCCACTCCGCCGGGGACACAATGCCAGTTTTGTTTTTCGTTTTATAAAAGGACCACGCCAGTTGAAAACCTGCCTGTGGCCCAAATGTTTAATCGGTCCATCGTGCTCTTCTCTGTTTGTCTCTAGGCCATGGCCCATCCTTCTTTCCTTTTTCTTTATAATTGTTAGGTTCATTTTTAAAAAAAATAAATACAATACATATAATTCTTTGATGTAGAAAATTCAATATCTTGAATAGTGGAGGATATTATATTAGTGCAGACCAAAAGTGGCTATGCACCAGGTTTTTGTAATTCATTTGCAGCAAACAGTGTTTTTGGTGCTAAAACGTTGTTATTTCTTTTAAGTTAGCATCGTTGGCCAGTCCTATAGCTCACTTCAAGCTCCACCGCAAATCTTAAGTATAGCATGGTGGTGTATGTTTATTAAATTAAATGACCCTTTGTGCCATCCTAGTAATTATTAAAGGAGTAGTCTATGACATATTGACCTTAAACTCTTGGTTTTAATAAAATATATGGAGTGTTTCTAATACAAGTTATAATAAAAACAAGAGTTCAAATATAACATAGAGATAAAAAAATTGGTAGTAACCAATAAGATCAAAATTTTAGTGATTGTTTGGATCTTGAAAATATAAATAGGTGTATGATCTCTGGTTGGCCTAGAGGGGGGGTGAATTGGCCTGTCAAAACAAACACTCAAACTTTTATCAAATTCACCCTACGACACTGTCGCTCTGGAGGGCGGCACTGTCGGACTGCGGCACTGCCGGGCCAGAACAACGGCACTGCCGCGTCTGCAGATAACTTCGAGTCACAGTTCAAAATCCGTGAACGAAAACTTAGATCGGAGAAATTTTCTAACTTACTGCAGGTATAACAATCACAGATCAAGAGCTAGATGTCGTAGGAACACCACACATAAGTAGATCGACTAGAAACCCTAGAAATCACCTCAACCACAATATGTCATGCAAGTAATGTAAATCAAGCACAAGTGACACAATGATTTATCCTGTGGTTCGGCTCGACACCAAGGCTTGCCTACCTCCACGTTGTTGAGGTTAGCCACTAAGGCTTAGGGCTTTCCAACCCTTACTCGTTCTCAAGTCAAGAGACTTAACTCTTGAGATGAGGAGTGAATTTACTAGCTTCAAGAGATGGTTACAAATCTCCCGAGGCTGCCACACAAATTGACAAGCTCCACGGGCGACGCTCTAATCGGCTAGAAGCCAAGCTCCAAGAGTAACAAACACAACCGCTGGCCAAAACGTGAACCAAGTGCTCTTTAGAGTTGGAGAATCAATGGAGCTGCTCTCTAATCTAGTTTTGGACCCTTTTCCCTCAAGGATTGATGAAAAATCAATGGATTTGTTTAGGGGCTTGAGGTCAACAATGGAGGGAGAGAGAGAGCTCCTTTTTTGTTTTGGATGAGCTGGAATGAGCAGGAGGCAGAAGAGAGACATTGGGGAGGAAGAGGATGTGTATAAATACCCCCTCAGCCCCAACGGTCACTTAAGTCGCGACAGTGCCGCACTGCGGCAGTGCCTCTCTTCAAGTGAGGCAGTGCCGCACCACGCAAGACAACAAGGATAAGAGTGAAGTGTAGACTGTCTTGGCTGTGAATCTGAGGATGCATGTGTATGTTTGAGCACTTGGTAGCACATATTAGCTTAAGCATTGTGTCCCCCTTTATAGTACGGATTTTACTATACTCAAATTCAAAATATAAAAGAATTTAAATCTCCTTTGAGTTTGAAGCCATCTACATTTGTAATTGGGGGCTCCTCCGTTTCATGTAGCATCCTCGAACATGAATTCCCTGCTTGTCATCTCGATAAATCTCATTAGTTCTCTAATTGCGTGGTCATTATCACCAAAACTCACAATTAGGGCTTGATTGCACTTTCAATCTCCCCTTTTTGGTGATTGATGACAACCCAATTAGAGCTTACAAAAGATATGAAATAAATACTGA